CTCCTCCTCCTCCTCCTCCTCCACCAGTACACAGCTGGTAGGGGCTGCCAGGACACCAACACTTGCAGTCTTTGCCCACAAAACCTTCCCCGGGACACGACGAATCTCGCTTTGTGCAACCTCTTGTTGCTGAAAAAAGGAAGAAAAAAAAAAAGAAGCAAGATCACACTTTTTTAATATTGTTATAATTACTAACAAACATCACACCTTTATTATATTATTATTATTGAAGCGCATAGAGCTTGCTGTTGAGCGGGGATTTGCGCTATACAAAGGCTATCTATTATTATCTATTATTATAATTACTTACAAATAACATACTTTTATTGTATTACTACAACTACCAACTAAAAACACATTTTTATAATATTACTCTAATTACAAACAAAAAATTACAATTTATTGTACTATTATAATTACTAGCAAAAGTCTCACTTTTCTTATATTATTATAATTACTAACAAATATCACACTTTTCTGGAATTATTGTATATCACTTACAAAAATCAGACTTAAAATGAGTTCAGTTTTGTTTCGTTTGAGTTTGACGGCACTTAAATAACACAAATCAATACCTTATTGTTGTTGTTGTTGTTGTTGTTGCTGTTGTTGTTGTTGTTGTTGTTGTTGTTGTTGTTGTTGCTATCGATCCAGAAAATGAAACTACGTCACAATATGAGTGCTGAAGTTTTGAAGTCTTACTTGAGAGTAATATACAAAGAAAAGAAAGCATAGAGAAAACCACAGCAGAGCATCCGCCAACCACTCACAATTATAGTGAACAACTACACAGACGGTTTAATGTTAAAAAGAAATAACAATGATGACTATTTCTTTCATCGATTTACTTTCCTGTTTGTGTGTCTTTTTGTCTGTTAGTCGGTATGTATGTTTGTTTAGTTGGTTGGGGTTGTTGTTTTTTTTGTTTTTTTTTGGGGGGGGGGTTCCACCGTTGTTTCGTTATTTGATGCTTCTTTAGAATCCTGAAATCTATCGATCTATCTCGCTTTCCCCCTCTCTCTCTATATCATTATCTCTCTTCTATTCCCCCTCCTCCTCCCCTCTCTTTC